AGGGAGAGGAGGGAGATCCCACGAGCAAACTTCAGCCAGAACCTGCAACACAAACCCATCAGTTATCCTGCACTAGTGCGGGAAAGTGAAGCCAAGGATTCAATCCCAAAAACTGTGATTCCTTCAGTGTCACCTGGAAGTTGGCTCCAAAAGCAAGTCAGCATCCAGTCTGGTAATAGAAATGGTTCTAATCTTTACAGTTTCTCAGATTGTAGTTTCTCAGGCAGCTTGTTAACATAGTCAGCCCTTCACCTTCTTACCAGAATCATACAGTCTAAAACCTGCACGCCTCATCTGGGTAAGAAAAATGAAGTCATTGTGGAAGGACCTAAAACCTCCATTCCTTCTATCAGTGATTTCAAAAAGACCTCTGTGTCTACGAGAAAGTCTATTTTATGAATTTGGGTCATACTGTGCCTAAGAAAAGGAGTATGCTCACTGGCTGTTTCACAGTCATAGCCGTCCTCTTGTCACTGTGTTTTTTTTTTTTTTAAATCTAAGATGGCAACGGTGACAACATTTGTCTTAAAGACTCGTGATCAGACTTCATAAACCAATCATGGTAGTCTTCAGCATCTTTTAAATTGTCTGTGGTCCAAGTATGGTCACTTCTGGCTCTCCTCAGTGTCACCTCACCTCTTCAGTTGTGTGCAGGACGGCCAGTAGCTGGTCCTGCGGGGAGAGCAGAGCGCCTTCTTTCTGCAGAGAGAGACGAGGCAGGAGGCCACATTTCTGGTAGTAACGCTGAGCTGCCTGCTCACACAGCCACGACACAGAGCAGGAGTTGGCCTCACTGGGATGCAGAGCAATGGGAGGTGATTAAACAGAATTTAAAAACAACAACAACAACAACAACAACAACAACAAAAAACACTATACCAATCAGATTGGGATTTATTTTTATACACTGCTCAAACTTAAAACTTTTCACCGACCTTTGTGGAACTGGGATCAGGAAGACGTCTTCCTGAACCCGGACCCTCATTCTGATTGGTGGAGGAAGTGACGTGGGCATAGGAGCAGCCAAAATTTGAGTTGGAGGCTAGAGTAAACAAAATAAAACATTCAAGCCCTGTTAAAACATCTGTATTCAATGTCGTCAACTCTTAGTAGAAAGACAAAGCAGAGTCTGTGGAGGGATCAGAAAGTCTAAACATCAGGAAAGTAAAAGTTTGTCAGGTGATGCTACGAAACACCAAGGTATAACTATATATAAGATCCAAAATGAGCGATGTCATCTTTTACTCTTGACAAAGCCCACGGCATCCAGGCTGCAGAAATATGTAAAAACAGCTCCCCTGTTTTGATGAGCTCGTGCTCATTTACGTTTACATTCATCACTGTTCAAAATGAATCAGAAATGAAGACACATCATCTTCAAGTTATATCGCCTAGTGACACTGAATTATAGTTATTCTCTCACTGAGTGTGCATTTCCTGAATAATTCATGTGTAATCTCACTCTGACTATCACCTTTCCACACTTGGAGTGACTTATTCACAATCACTGTGTTGTGTGTATTTCCTTAGTGTAACTAACAAACAGCAACTTCTGACCTGAGCATGGATAAGGAGAGGTGGGGGCGGTGTGTCTGATCTGGAATCATCATCTTCTGTAACGGTGGGACTGTGTGACCGGTTGACTTCTCTTCTCCCCAATCTAGCCACACCTGGTATCTGAGTCATTTTGACCTGGTGAGGCTTCCCCAAGCTGTTCTTTCTCTGACAGAGGCCTCTACTGGAGAGGGAGGAAACTGCAGATCCTGAAAGAAAAAGGGCACAACAAGCTACAAAACTGGCAAAACCAAGAAAAAGAAAAACCAAACAAATCCAGACTAATTACCTCTGCAGGTTGTGTCCGAGTTTAAATGCTTGTTTTGACTTCGAGCTGCAGAAGACGAAGCAGTTTCCTCTACTCTCGGCCCATTCTGCTCCATTCGAAGCCTCCGCTTTTTCTTCGGCTGGATCTCCAACAAATCGTCTTCCAACCAGTCATCAGCCAGATACTCGTCCTCGGGAACAAGAGCTGATTTGTTGCTGGAAGAAACGGCAGGTGTGCTGGAGAGCTGAGGCTGCGAGAGACCCTGGAGAAGTGTTTTGGCGCTGCCCAAGCCTCTGATGGCACTGTGGTACTCTTCTCGGGCAAACACAGACGGCGTAGAGGCCTGCCTGATGCCTTCCTGTCCTGAGGTGGGAACTGAGGCAGCTTCTTTGTTCGCAGGAGGTTCTTTCTGACTCTGAGCTGCTGGGAAACCTTGTCTAGGACGGACAGGACGGAGAGGACTAACCGGGGTGTCAGGCTCGCTGTCATCTGAGCTGCTGCTGTTAATCTAAATAAAAATATATATTACACATCAAAGATCTGAAGAATTCTGCTTGTACAATATAGATGAATCTACTACACTTGTGAAAAGACATGATGTATTCTGTCTGTCCACATTGAAAGCATCATCAGACATTACCCCATACAGTACAGCAGCTTCTGTTCCCCTGGCTCTGTGCCGCTGTGTTGAGCCATTGGTCTGCCGCTGTTTGCGGCTGGCGCCTGACGCTTTCACCCCCGAGCTCCTGCTTCGCGGCCAGTCTTGGCTGGACAAAGAGCCCCCTCCAGTGGTCGAGAGTGGCTCAGAACTCTCCGCATCAAACAGCTGGCTGTCCTGCAGGGCATCAAAAGGCTTGGCCGGGGCCGGAGCTGCAGGCACTGTGGTCGGCAGAGATAAGTGCGAAACACAAGCGTTTGAAAGCAGGTTTAAAAAGGCAGACCGAGGCTAACGCAGTGCGATGATGCAAGAGCTTCACCTCCTCCTGCTAGCGCCTTCCTCAGAAGTCTCTCTGTAGCAATACACTTCTGCCTGGTCTCATGATCCAGCTCCCTGCTGTAGGTCCTCTGCCACTGACGCAAGGTGTCCAAAGCAGTTTCACCCTGGTGGAGATAAAAATGTGAGATTAAGGCGCGCAAGTTCAGCAGACTGGACTTTCTCCAAAGGAGGTGGGGGTGACTTCAATATTGCCAACAGAAAGCATGGTCCAGGATTTCATTCCCAACCAGAGGGTGCGTGCACAAATTTTCAATCATTCCTCAGTAACAGAAAGTAAAACTTTTATCAGAGAGATTCATAACTTTAAAATCAGAGTAATGTGTTTATTTTTTGTGGTTCTCACTGCTGAGGCTGATTATAAAAATATCACCCTACAATTACAACCACTTTTTAAAATAGATTTTTCCTCATCCAAGTATTAAAAACCGTCTTTATATTTAAAATGATGTTTGTCCAATAACTTTTGAACCTATGAAGACTGTGCACACTAACTGTATGCAAGTGTGGTCAGTGTGACCCGTAAGTTTGTAACACTGTTAGGAAAGTCCTCCATTAAAGTGTGGAAGACATGTTTGTTTGTTTTTTTTAAATAAAGAAGATGTTTTACCGCCACCTTCTGCCAGCAAAGAAAATCCTGCTGAAATGGGCTTTCAGGTTGAACACAGCCAAACACACAAACCTTGGAGTTGCGCAGTGTGACACAGGCCCCTCGTTCCACCAAGAGCCTTGTGACTTCTAAATTGCCACATGCGACGGCGTCGTGGAGAGGAGTCACACCCTCGCATAAAGGGCCACCGGGGTCGTTAACGTTAGCGCCGTGCTCCAAGAGCAGAGCCACGATATCTGCACGAAGAGCAGAGAAAGATGAGCGAGGGAGCGAGTAGTTTTCCAGAGACTCTGACAGGACTTACCATAGTGACCATGGTTGCAGGCTTCATGGAGGGGAGTCCAGCCACAGTAGTCCCTGGGGTTCACTGGGTGACCCTGATATGCAAATAAACAAAAGCTTTCATCAGATCATCCAGGCTCTTCGACGTTACAGATTCTGTCTGTACATTTTTTTTCCTCCATACAATTCATGAACACTCCTAATAAATCATTTATATTTGAGCCAACCGATGTTCTCATCAAACTGCATGATGCAGGGTTGTTGTTTTTTTAAGGTGGTAAATATTTTAAAAACTCAGACAAGAAGTTCAAGTCCAAGAAGTTTGTTGCTGCACTTGTTCTGTTGAGTTAAGCAGAAAGCCTCAAGCCTGAACTGTTTATTATAGTGACCAACCATCAACGAGTGAATCAGTTTATATGTTGATGGTGCTCAACTTTACGTTTTCCCTCCTGATTCCAAGAGTTAAAAACTTATTGAATTAAAATAATGAATCATCTTCTTTATACCTGTTCTACCAGGTACTGGACCTGCTTCAGATTCCCATCTATGCATGCTCTGTGAAGAGACGTCTCTCCCTTCTCGTTCCGCTTGTTCCACTAAAGCAGAAAGACAGACACAAAAAAGGCCAAGAATGAAGATCTAAACCGTAGTCTACAAAGAAGAAATGACAACTCGCACATCGCTCACCCGTCCTGTTTTCCTCCTCCCTGACACCATCTTGTCATAACCCTCCAGATCATCGTCTGCAAACCACATGAAAGGTAACGTGAATCAAAGCATCCCTCTGTATAGAGATGTCAGTGCTTTCCGGATAGTTACCCGCGCGCATTTTACCTGAGTCTGAGAGGATGACATCACTGTCATCCAGCGGTTCGCTGTTCTCCATTTCCTCCTCCTCTTCCTCCTCACCATCACTCCCATCTGGATTCCAGCCCTCCGAAGCACACAGCTCCTGCAGCCTCGCCTCGGTGTCGTCAGCATCCGATGAGCCGCTTCGTCTCTGGGACGCCAGCCAGAGCCTCAACACGCGCTTCTGTGGAAGTCAATGTGCGTTTTGGTCGTGCATGATATTCATCACCGTGCCTTTACAAGATATCTTAAATTTCTGCTTAGTTTTCAACACAGCTGACTAATTTATCTCTCACCTGCAGCCTGGCCTGTCCAGACTCCTGAGCGCAGCGTAAAGCTGTATTGTAGCTTCTCTCCACATCCTCCAAAGCACAGCCGCTCTCCTCCTGAGCTGCTGCGATGTTTAGCCACGTGCTACACTCCTGACGCGCACAAATATAAGTAATAAGTCACACATTCATGTCTACCACAGGGCAGACGGGTGAATTTGCAGATCACCTCTGTAGAGCTGCCCTGTCGTAACGCCAGCTCCTTTCTGTAGTGCTCCACCGCCTTGCTGTGTTGTTTCAGGTCTGCGTAGGTGGCAGCCAGGGACACGTGGATGACAGCCAGCTCCCTGGCAGGCTTTCCCAACGCCTCAGCACCCTTTAGCTACACAACAAAACCAACACCGCTTTAGACAAGTCACATTTAGACTCTACGTTGCAACTATTAAAAAGAAAAGTGAAAAAAATGTGAGAGTTAGCCATGTGACTCTTTTGATGCTTCTCACCTGAGCTTGATAAGCTTCCAGAGCTTTGCTGTAGCAGCCAACTTTACAGCAGAGATCCCCGAGCTGCTCTGCCAACTCGACAGCCTGATGGGAGCTGGGTTTTTTGCCCTGATCTTCCCCCAGCTCTTCCTCTAATTTACAGCCTCGGTCAGCTGTGTGATAGGAAAGAAATACACTGTACCATCCGTGCAGCTACAAGTAAGTAAAAAAACAAACATATCTAACCGTTCACTCACCATATTTGAAAGCTTTCTTCACCGTCTGTCTGTCCAGCGGCTGCTGGGAACCCAGCAAGACAGCTTGCTTCAGAGATCGTCGCGCTGCTACAAAGTCACCCAGAGACAGCTGCACCTGTTAGCATCGCATGTTAACAATTAAACACACACTTTAAAACCTGCATGATCGCAACAGGAGAAAATAAGAGGATATGGTGGAGCTCGTACCTTGCCGATGCAGTGAAAGCACTCGCTCTCACTAAATTTGTCTTTAATCTTCCGGGCGCACTCTTTGGCCTGCTCTAAGCAGCGGACCGAATTAGAGCGTTGACCGTTACGGAAGTAGATGTTGCCCAGGTTAAAGTTTGCACGGTAGAGATCCTCCAGCAGCTGGCTCTTCCTTTACCGGGGAATAACGGAGATATCTCAGTTGACGGTTATTCAAAATAAGCATTTTAAAAGCTGTCGATGAAAAAGATCGACATGCTTAGATGTGGAGCAAAGTTTAGGATGTTCTTACTCGGCAATAAATACACTTCGCCGGATGAACTCGCTGCAGCGTTTGTGCTCGCCCAGATGATCACAGACCAGACCCAGATTGAGGAAGAGACGCGCCTTCATCTCATTGATCTCTCGCTGTGGCACAGTCCCTGCAGCCAGGTAGAGGATTAGGAATAACGAAACAAAGAAATCTCCCATTAAAAACCACTGGGACGATACAAACAGTACACACCCTCCAGCCGGTCATCCACAATGCCCAAGCTCTTCCTGAAGGCCTCCTCTGCTTGCTCCAAGCTCTTCCTCGATTGGTCCGTTTCATAACGGAAGAGGTAGGTCCGACCGATAGTGGCCAGCGCCCTTTGCTCTTCAGCATGATCTCTGACAGATCGAGCCAGGTCCAGGTGAAGACGCTGGTGCTGAAGAAGAGACACACATCCACTTATGCAGGTCCTAAACACCACTTGAATTAGAAGTTTATCACATAAGCTTTAATAAACTTGGAAGCGTCAGTTTACTTACTTTTAAAGCTGCCTCAATGTTGCCCAACTCTGCAAAGCACTCTCCTATCTTACGATTGGCCACAGCTCGTCCAATCACATCATTTAGCACTTCAGAGAGAGACAACTCCTGCTGGTGCTCCCTAATGGCAGCCTGATAATCACCTGAGACACACACGAAGCAGAAAGGTAAATGTTACACTTTAAATGAGGAAGGAAAAAGAAAAAAATTACACTGCAAACAAAATGTTGCTGGTATGAAAAAGCGTATAAAGAATAAATGAATTACTAGATTGAATATTATTGCATCCTTTGCTCAAACTGTTTACGTTAATCAAAGTCAGATGAATTGTAGTGCAGCACATAACCTTGCAGTTTGCTCATTTCATTTTAGTTTTTATTAGTTTCAGGGCTAATTTTAGATTTAATTATTATTGTATGGCGGGCACATGTCAGAGGCAGGATCCAGAAAGCAGAACTTTTTAAAAGAGTTGGCTCACTGTGTTGTTGACATCCAGAATCTTAATAAACATGTATTTCAAAGCTTCATCAGGCAAGCTGTGATAAACAATTTTTACCAAATAAATGCCAAAGCGTCCACTATTTATCGTTTATTGTTTTAGTTTTCCAAGTTCACAAAAATCATTACATTTTTTCTACATTCCAGTTTTATCTTAGTTAATTTAAATGCTTTTCACATCTAGTTTTGGCTTTTAGGTAATAACCTTGATCGGCACCAGATGAAATTTGACTCACTTGAAGACAGAAGCATAAGAAAGCAAATGAATGTAAAGCCTCTGAAATGTATCCCGTGATTAAACTCTACAGTGACAGGTGTCAGCTGTACAGCTGTGTACTAAGAAGCAGCCATGGTCAAACTGGAAAATACTGAAATCCTCAACATTCAAGTGGCTCCAGGTGGGAGTAAATATGCAAGTAATGGCACTTTTATCCACTTTTGAAAGATTGTTTTAGGATCACCTGCACAGTTATAAAGTAAAGGGACAAAAATTATTAGAAAACAAGATTATTCGAGAGTGTTGGTGATCTATAAAACATTGTGACGCTGTGACAGGAAAAGCTGAGGATCAAAAACAATCCATAACTGCAGTACTCGCAGTGCTAAAATAACACAGTGCTGATATTGGGCAGACTATACACACCGCTCCTGGACAGCAGCTCTCCTAGCTGATTACAGATGTTGGCTTCCTCCTTTAAGTTGTTGCTGCTCTGGGCTTTGCTCTTTGCTTTCTGCAGCTCTGCAAACAATCGAGATGTAACAGTTACTTAATTTTAATAGTCATATAACAATAGCCGTTAAACGTGCCCAAAAAATGTAAACTGAAAGCGGTACTTACGTTTAATTTCCCGTGAAACACTCATCTCGATTCAGCTCTCAGTGCTGCTAGCACTTTTTTCCAGCTGGTAGTAAACGACAACCCAGCGCGCCTCCCTTTAGCTTAGCTTCAACTCGAAACCGACCAAAACAAACCTTTAGTTCATTTTCACCGGAGCACGTCTATGACTGTGTAGCAGTGTTTAAGCTAACCTTTATGCAACCGATCGTGGTTGATGTCATAGAAACATATTCAAGACTTCAGTATCCACGTAGCTGTTTTAGCTTTGAGCTCTCAGTAAACTTTACAATACCGCGCCAGGACTGCGTCAACCAATGACTAAGCTACAATATTAGCATGATTTAACCCTCATCGTTGCCTCTCAGGCACAAATCCAGCCCATCGTACTCTAAAGGAAGGCGTTGACAGGTGGGAAATGCAGTCCAGATCACCTTTAAGATTTTAACAGAGGACACATGATTTGACATTTTGCATAAAGTGTGAGAAAACGGGCATTCTGTCAGTCTGACAGACTAAATTGAGGGCAAATTGAGCAAAAATTAGAACGGCGATTATTCATTGGCTAAGGCTTGAGTGTGACTGAGCTGCAGCGCAGGGAAAAAAGGAAATGGGCTCAAACCCATCACTCATAGGCACAGCGTAAAAACGTGGGAGTGTTTTAAGAGCTTGTGGCTACATTAAGGCACAGATGTTGCAGCCAGCACAGGAGCTTAATGCTGTGTGTGACCGGTGCACAGCGACCTCTTGTATGTGGGTCGAGCAGAGGGGTAGAACAGGTAAGATACCCTGTAATCCCCTGTGCCAGTTTGGAAGAAAATCACTTATTGTGAAAGTCTGTGCAACAAGGGGCTTTAAAATAGCAATTTGACCCATATTTCACTGATATTTTTAGTTTGATAGTTTTGCTTTTGGTGTTATTACTCTGTTTGTGCCATGGGAACGAAGACGATTTCCATAATAAATAAATAAATAAGAGTTTAAAAATATGTCAGCCCCTCATGACGCAAAATAGATGTCATACTACAGATTAACATATTCCAGTCTTTCAATATCAGTCTTAACAGGGACTGACACTCATGGATGCTATATTAATGCAACAAAAACGAATTCCTATAAATGATTGCTTTATTGAGAATGCGGAAGACACATTTGTATGTGCCAATAGCAGTTCCAAGACAGTTTCTTTAATGAATGAATGAGAAAATACTTTTTGGAAAAGATTTTGTTACAGAAGTTGAAATGATGATGCATTCTTATTGTTGTTTGGAGAATGTGCTCCACTCCTGTCTGGCGGTGTGTATGGTTCAGGATCCATCATCTTGCTGCACACATCAAAGAATATCAGCTTCCTTAGGAAACAGAGCCTTCTCATCCTACCCTTTTTTTGTTGTTGTTGTCAATGTAGATGCCCGGGTTCTTGTACTCCCCCACAACATCAACATCCTGTCCCAGGATAGACACGAGTCGTGTAGCCATCCTCTTCATACTGACGTCGATCACTATTTTTAGTGCTCTGTACTTCTCCTCCTGCCCATCACTAACATTTCCAACCACTGCTGAATTGTCAGAGTATTTCTGTAGATGCATGACCTGGAGTTGTGCTAAAAGTTTGAGGTGCACAACGTGAGTAGCAATGGAGACGCCGCAGGCCCCTGTGTAGCTCCTATACTGCTCAGTCTCACATACCGCAGCCTGTCTGTCAGGTAATCAGTAATTGATGAGATGATGGACATGTCTGCTTATGTTTTATGTATTTTCTCTATCACTAGCAGCAGCTTAAATCATATTAAATGCACCTGAGAAATAAAACATTGGCAATCCTCACAATGCAGTTACTATCTCGATGGGAGTAAGCTTCCAGCAGCATGTAGATGATTGCATCACCCACTCCTGGATTTGGTCTGAATTTGAACTGCAGAGGGTTGTGTGTGTGTGTATGTTTGTGTGTTTTGTTTTTACTCCCCCTTCCCTTGTGCTAAAAAACATCTTTTTGACACATAAGAAACATTTTAATGGCCTTAGCTCTTTATGGCACCATGTTTTAAAGTGCAAAAATGATTCTATACGGCAGATATGCAGCTTTTTATAAATGTCATCATATTTGCAGATAGTTGACATCACTCATTAACTAATAACTATGTCATGCCTATTATTGGGTTATCAGGTCCGTAATCACAGATATATTTGTACTGCTATACATGTTGGCTAATAACTGAAAAGAAGTAGTAAAGATGTACAAGTGATATACACAGAAACCATCCCACTGAGCCTTGTAATTTTGTGGAAAAATCAGAGCTTTAATAATGAACTGAAAGATGCATCTTTAATGCATTGCCATGCTGTGCTAAAACTTCAGAACCACTAAGAAAAACTTTGACAGAAATTCTTAAGTGTGTCTTCCGGGACTAAAGAATAATTTCTCCAGCGCTGGCAGACTTTATTATTCAGCTTCTAACATGGCTGTGTTAAAACACAAATATGAACCAAAGAGTCACAGCAGTTAGCCCAATAATCGGATTTTCTCCGCCGACGAGCAGCGATGTTTTTCATCTTTCCAAAATTTGGTGTGAACTCACTCTTTAAAAACCTCGCAGAATATAATAACAGCGATTTAAAAAGAAATCAAAATTCTGATCGTGGTATTAAGCTGTAATTTGATTCAAGCTTAACTAGAAGGATGGATTTTATTGGTTTTTAGTGTTGTATGCCTGGGTGTTGATTGTCTGTGTCAGTTTTTGCAGCAGGTAGCTGATGCATTTGCTCGGTCAGCACTACTACTGTAAAAAAAAAAAATGAATAAATACAAATCTGCAAATCTCAAAACAAACCATGCTTAACATTACTTACACCAATTTTTAGATTGACGTAGATGGAGCTAACCCAAATTCGTGATCTTATAATCCAACTGTTCAGAGTGCCAAAAGGGGGGAAAAAAAGAAAAGGGGACACATGTCCGGGCGGATGGTGACGTCAGCGGCGAGGCCTTTTTTGACTGGCTCACTCGGACAGCACGTTTTGACAGATAAATAGCGATGCAGCCGCACGTGTGTTGCTAAACTGAATAAACTCAAGCACTGAACTTTCAGCTGGCTTCATTTTTATTTTTTGAAGACGATTGATGCTTAGACTTAATGTTGTATACTGTCATCACCAGATACGTGTAGTGTTTATATTTATTATCATTAAGACAATACATAGGACCAAATCACTGATTGTAAACATGGTAAATAATAAAAATATAATTAGCTTTACTGATATAATATATTCAGTATTATATATAACCTGAAGGATGTGGATTTAAAGTTTCCTTGTTGAGGAACTCTGTTGGCATTGTTACTGCTGGATCTGCCAACACATCTACCTGTGTAATTATTTTTTGGGGGACATCCAAAAATATTCCCATATCTGTGTCTCTTGAAAGAAAAAAAAAAAAAAAA